GAAAAATAATATGAATACTATTGAGATACCAAATGGGTAAGTGAATCTATTTTAGAATTATGGAATGAGGGAAACTGTAAGATCAATCATAACGTGCCTTTAATATATCAAAAGCTCATATAAAATTAAGCAATTTAATTATTCGACATGAGCTACATCTATTGACTTACTCTTCCAGTGCTTACATAGAAAAGGAAAAAGTTGAATACATTCAGTGAACATGGCGGTATTAATAGAATGGAAAGCAAGATTTGTTTAAGCTGTACTCTACTGAAAAGTTCCTGATAACAAGAACAGCCCAAAACAAGTTATTATGTATTGTCTTATATTATTAGTGATTATCCTGGAGATAAATTTCTCTAAAAGGATCCTCCTTACTTCAAGATACAATTTCTAATGCAACTGCTTACATAAGTAAGCTGAAAATTACTAAGAATTCCTTGCATTTATAAAGCAAATCATTGTCCACATTATTATAAGAGTTTAATTAATCTCAGAGATATTCACACCATGGTTTATACTTAAAATCTGCATGAAATATCAGTGGTATTTCTACTGGGGACAGAAAATTCATTTTTCATTAAGCATTATGTCAAAAGTCTGATAGTTTTAATTCATTCAGCCGGAAGTATAAAAAGCTATTTTTAAACACAGCATGTGAGTTATTCATCCTTTCTACCTCTTTTTCAGCATTTGAACTGTTTACTTAAATTGCTTTTCCAAAAGTGTATTTTATATAACACAAATATTTGCTCAGCAAATATTAGCCTAGTTTCAAAGTATTAGCACCATTAGCCTTAATTTGCATCGTATAACCATATTGGATTGTAGTTGCTCCTGGCTGATAACTGTTTCAAAGATCCTGAAGAACAGAGAATATCAGTTACAGAATCCTAGCGTAATACTCTAATAGGATGGAAAGTACTACAACAATAGCAGGCTAACAAAGTCTTCAGCTACAAATGAGAACAAGCCCAAATACAAGTAGCTATAGCAATGAAGGAAAAAAGAGCTGCTTACCTTTAGAAGCCCTCAAGTTGACAGAGATCTCCAGGGAAAAATAGCCTTGCTTCCACTTCCAACCCTTAAGTGAGGTCTGGAAAGGGGGTGGAGCCAGGATCCACCCCTTCCTGTTGCTCAGGTGCTTTGCATGCATCTGAGCTCCCCTGGATTAGCCCTGCCTTCCCACCAATTGCTGTTTCAAGCCATGACTTGGTATTTCTACTACAAATGGAATCATAGAATCATGGAATGGTTCTATGGAGGACCCCAAGGATCATCATCAAGTTCCAACCTCCTTGTCACAGGCGGGGCCACCAACCACCAGGTCTGGTACTGGACCATGTCAGATGTATCAGTAGTAGTAGTAGATCTAAGTCGGGGCTTCACTGTATTCTCATCAAATACACGTCCTGTAAACTGTGCCTCCCAGTTACATATCACTGCAACGGGTAAAAAAAGTCTCACTAAAAAGTTTTTAAATGCATAGTCAGCTCTTCAGCTGTAATACCTTTGGTAGTGTTACCTAAAAATAGAAAAACAGATGAGGATATTTTTCCTGGCTTACTATTCGTATCTAGATGCATGTTTTTTGTGTGTTTTTTGTTTTTGTTTTAAAGAAACACAATCTATTTTCTGGGGAAATGCAAACTGAATTTTACTCAACTGCCTTTACTTACATGTTTTTGGTTTTGAAAACAAGTTGGTTTTCTTTTAGCCTCTGGAAATAATACAGTTTTTTTACGTATGTTTAATTGAACGCAAAATATATTCCATTTGCTCTCATGGTTAAACTATACTGTTATTGTTTCTGCAAGATTTCTTCCTCCATGTGAGAACAGCCATCTCAGCCAGAGGTGTTAGCATCTGTATGGCAACGAGTCACGGTCTGAACCACTGATTGAGCATCTGGGAAATGACCTGGTCAGCCCTGGGAGCACAGGTGAAGGCAATTCAACTGTGTGACAAGAAGGGGGTGGAGTCTGGTTGCACTTCTCTTAGACACCATTTAAGGGCTGACTGCTACTCTGGAAAGATCTCTGGCTGGAAATTTCTCCTTTGGGGAGCCTTTTCTGTGAGCCTCAATTTTTGGAGACAGATGAGTACTCTTACTTTGTCTTTGAAGTATTGTCTTATCTGTACTAGTCCCTTTGCTGTTCTATTTCTTTTCTACTGCATTAATCTTTTTAGTTGTAACAGCTTGGCACAGTTTGCTTGTGGCTCAAATTCCTTATGCTTGTAATGCCTGTTAAGCTAATACAAATTTTTGCTTAACGTTCTACTTTTGTCTGTTTTGTTTGTATTGTTATCTGTATCGTTATGGCTTCAAGCTCTATCTTCTTTTCTGCATCTAACATGTTTATATGTTTTGAGTTCCTGATGATATCTAAGGTGGTAGAGCAATATCCAGATTCTTGTTGGGGTCTACTTCTTTGAGGACTTTGTTTTTTTTCTCGTTTCCTCTTCATTCGGTTGCAAACCAGAAGCCTTCTGAAATCAGTTTTATTAAATATAAATGTTCTGGTTGTTCTTATCCTAAGAACATACTTCATTGTAACACCTTGTAAAATACAAAAGCATTCTAGCTAAAATTTGTCTTCCCAGCTGTATAAAGTACAGAATACTTCTAAACTTTCATACTGAAAACATTTGACTTCCATAAGTTTCATTTTATTTAGAATGTAATACAACAGTTTCACAACCATCTCACTTTATGTGGATTGCTGACAACTTTTAAATATGTGAAATACATCAGTACTTTTTATTTTAAGAAGGAAAATCTTCTAGTGGTCTTTCTTTTAAATTGCAGTGCTTCCAGATGTACGTTGGAGTCTCTTTTATTAGTAGCTTCTGGTATTTTTCAGAGTTTAAGCCTTTAAGTGCTATGATTTCTTCTCAGAGTCTTTGTGCCATAAATGGGGAGCAATTCTGGTCTCAGAAAATTACAGTAGATGTTCTTTAACCTTGTGCATCCACAGTGCCTTTTTCTCATACTTGCAAGACAAAGCTAAACCTCTGAAGGAATGTTTTACCAGTAGCCTTTCATTATAACAACAAATAACAAAAGGAAACTATAGCATTGTATTTACAGATGCAGGTATATGGAAAAAAATCATGTGATAAATAGCAAAAACTACTTTGCTTCTGAAGAAAGGAAACCAAGAAACAAACTATCTAATTTTTTGCAGTTCTATTTTTGTCTTTTATTTGTCTGCTAAAGATAGGAGAAATATGGTACTAGCTAAGAAGAATGTACTAATCTTCAGCAATGTAAAGAAGTGGCTATTCCTAGTATTTATAATGAAACTACTGATATATAATCTTTTTCATCTCAGCTATAGAATCTGAGATGCCATTTGCAGAACACGCTCTGATATTAATGAATGTTGGGCATTTCTAATACTGCATCACCAATTCATCAAGTGAGAAGTTAAATGTTTTCAAGCAATTTCTTTTTATCTGAGATCTTTAAATGCTGTCTGCATTTTTTCCCAGATGGATCTTATATTCAGTTGGATATCTGAAATATTGGGCTAATTTTCTAATAATAGTTGAAATAAGTATACTACTTCTAGTGAAGCTTTTAAAATACATCTTAAGAGATCTTATCCATGTGAAATACAAGGCTTTCTAATTGGTACTAGGTATTACCATGTTAGTCATCACATTCTCATGAGAGATCTCCATTCATTCCATTTCGTGCAAAGGGCAGATCTACTACCAAATAATATATGAACTGATAAATGTCTACATATAAATATTACTTTCAAGCATTTGTTTTGTTTCACAGTGTTGTAATTCCTCTCCAATGACCTCCAATCAAGGTCTCTACTAGCAAACATATAGCCATACAAATATCTGACCCTCTTAGGGATTATGTTTGCACTTAGTTGTGTTATGGCCATGTGCAACACTTTAATTTGATAGTGATGCAATTTTATGTGTAGATCACTTGAGACAGCAGCTTATTTTGTCCTCTGATCTCTCTCCTCTGTAATTCTTACTTTCTGGCTATTTTATTTTTTAGTGGAATAAAAATTATTCTATGATTTAAACAAATACACCTTTGTACTCACACTGCCTTTATTTCTTTTGTATCCTTTTTGGCTTCCTTTTATCATCTCTCCCTTCCCATTCTATTTACTTACTCTTTTCCTTTGTACTGCAAACTTACGACCAACTCACAAAGCTAGCGCAGTTCAGAAGCACACTTTGTTGATGGTTATCATATCTTGCTGCAGTCAAATACCTGGGACATCAGATCTCATTTTCACTAATAGAGTTTGATGTAAGGACATGGGCATTGTGAATCAGCTGGAGTCTTAGCTGGGCATTACTGAACAGGCAAACCACAGTTAAGATTTCTAATCTGAGCACACATACTCAGCGGCAAAGGTCATAAAACCTTTGCTGAGGAGGAAGATATTGTTGTAAAGTCTGAAATAAAGTCCTGCTTCACACTTGAGGTTTTGCCATCAGTGATACTGGGTCTGAGTTGTTGTTCTATTTTTAAAGCTGTTAATACTTTAGCTACCTTGAAGAAAACACTTTGCTTATGTGCTTCCACAAGATTGCACAGATTAAATGCTAAGAAAAGAGTGTAATTAGCTGTATACGTTTGTTCGAGTCTGGCATAGGGCAGGATCTGAATGGGCATAGAAGACACATTAGCAATGGTCCTCCTGGATAAGTAATTTATTCCTGCATTTATCATTACTAAGAAATTGTAGATTACTTTGTTCTTTCCTTCAAAATACTTTCTTTACAGAAGAATAGAGGAGGATATTTCTTTTGTCTGCTACCTGTTTGAGAGTGGGAGGGCTAAATGCTTTGGATAGTGATCCTTTAACATATTTTTCATCCCTAGGTCCCAGAGCAAGAAAGTCAAAGCTTCTGGAAGTTTCAGTGGTGTTTGAGAGTGGCAAACAACTGGCAGCTGGGAGTTTTTGGGTGCAAAAGAGAGAGGGAGGGAAAGCATTGGGAGGGCAGCAGAACCTCTTGTGAGGGGCATCTTAACCCTGCTGAGGAGAGGAGAATGTAGTAACTGTGGTGAAAGGCTAAAATAGTGCAGAAGAGGTTTTGAAAATGGCAAGCAGAGAGAACAAAGCAGCAGCAAGTGCTGGAGTATGTACCTGCAGAGAAGGCAGAACAGGTAAAGTAACGACAGGAGGGAACTTGTGGAAGTTGCTTCGTTCAACAGGAAAACATATACTACTTCTAAGACAGGGAAGACAGGGAAGAGTACAGAAGGTATTACGGGTTGTGGGTGTGTTTTGTTTTTTTTTTTTTTTTTGAGAGAAAAAGCAGGGTTTATGCTGACAGAACCTGTGCTTTTGTTACATTCTTGGCAATACGTATCCTTCTCTGTGGGGGGGCTGTGTGCAGAGCTCACAAGTCACTTTAAAATGAGTCTGAGTAGGAGAATTCGCAGACCTCTTGTCTGGACAAAGTGATTCCATCAATATTTGAACGTTCGAATGGAGATCAGGAGATCCTGATTTTTGAATGGGCTCTGTTTCTACCATAATTAAAGTAAGCCATAACCACTTAGCAATAGGGACTATGTTACTTCTTGGACAAATTGGCTTTCTGATGCTGTAGGATATTTTCTCATGAAATTATTAAGAAATCTAAACTAAATTAACATTACTTGTTGTATTCAAAGTTAATACATTCCACTGTCTGAAGCAAAACAAAAAATCATGATTATGTGTAGTTATAGCAGTCTTGTTTCTTTGCTATGAAAAGTAGTTGTGAAGAATTCCATGCATCTTCTCCATCGGGCTATACATTTCCCCATAAGCAGGACCCTCTATGACGTTTGTAGAATCGCAAGGTTGGAAGGTACCTACAAGATCATCTAATCCAACTGTCCTCCTGTTACCATTGCTACTACAATGCTTACCTTGCTTTGGATACAGTGAGGCTGGCTCTTCACTGGCATCTCTTCACTTGTGTTCCATCAGTGAGCAGGCAGTAGATATTTAACACATCAGCATGCTAATGCATTGCATATTAATAGAGTAATGAGATCCAACTTTCAGATTAATACTGACTATGCTTTTACTACATTTGGGTAAATATTACCTCTTCCATAGTCCTCTTTTTTTTTTTTTTCTTGTAAAAAAACAGTGTATTTCTGTGGCAAGGGATTCCTTTTAATATTCCTTAGTTTATGTGAAAACTTGCACCTGAACCTATGAATTCAGGAACAAATTTGCTAGTTAGCTACTGGAGCAATGCTCTGCAGAATGCAAACTGGAGAAAAAAATTTTATGAAGAAAAATGCTTTGATTTTTAAATTGCTAAGAAATACAACAAGGTTATAAATTACTACTCTAAGTGTATGTTATGTGTTTTGTAAGATAGTCTATGACAACTAATCTATGGAGCATGCCAATTTTTCTTCCTTGCAATTCCTGACAATACTGCTTAAGTGATGATCTATCAGCTGTGAAGGACAAAACACACACACACTTTGGTATGCAGGCCAGCAATAGCATAGGCAGCCTTTGGTAAAAACAATTAATGGATTTCATGAAAACTTTCTCCTTGATGGCCACATTGACTTAGTTGATAAGCAGATAGAAATTTTGCATTTTCTTTCAATATTCCTCATTTTTTCTTATAACACCCATACAGTGGACATATTTTGTTACTAGTTTGATGGCTGCTCAGCATAACAAAAGTCCTTCCAAAATGTGAAAGTTCTAGGTCTCCCTTTCTCTTAAGCAGCACAGACAACAAATTGGAACTTGACAAGATTGCTTGAACAAGTACCTCCAAGCTTTGATTACTAATCAGATAAAGATACTCTGAAATTATATTTTGTGTAGTTAAAATAAACAAGTGCTCTTGTCTCAAAGCCATTCAAAAAAGTGCCTGAACTGACACGGCCCCATTAAGTTTTGGATCTGCTTACATCAGTACTGAATTTCACCATTATGTGTTTGGAGTGGTGAGGACTATAAAAAAGTTATTGTATGAAAGGCTGTGTCAATATTGTATTGCTACAGCTTGTAAATTTGCATTGATTTGTCTTATAAAAGATGTTTATAGCAGCAATGAACACAATCAGACCTATGGCATGTGTGGAGATGTGTGGTTGGGGAAAAAAAAAAAGCCATCTTGCTAAGAATTGATTTTTAGGAGATGATCCCAGACAGTGGTCTGAAAATCAGAGCGAAAGGAGATGAGAAGCCGTGACAGGCTGGGAGCATCAGGAACACCGTATCCTGTTAGTAGATGTTGGTACCACTGGGAGATTGTTGGATGGATTTTGCTATCGCACTGAGCAGGTGATTTGTCATAGAAGAAATGGGAGGTGTTTTTCAAAAGCAAACATGTATGTGTTGAAAAGTCCTGTAGTCAGAGTCCTGAGGGAATACAATGTGTAGAATGAGGACTTGAGCTGAACCTTTTTTCTTGATTGGCAGTGCTTTTTGGAGTCAGACTCGAGGAAACTGTTAGTTTTTGACAGTGCAGATTGTTTGGACATAGTTTTATAGCAAGCTGGAAATCCACCTGTTCAGGAAAGCAAAATTAAATATATTCAAAGATAAATGTTGTGCAAACAGAAGAAAACACTTGGAATTGCTAAACTTATCTTTCATCTACATGCTGGATCTGTTTCAAAGCTTTTGAACTTTGATTGTTATCTCAAATTGTTTAGAATTCCAGCTCCCTGGCATTCCCCAGCACTAACTGCATGAAGATACCTGTTTCATCTGCAGAAGTGAAATGCAACTCCAAGTTTTCCAGACCATAGCAGACTACATCCCATTGCATCCTACTGCACCTCTGTAAGTTAATGGTTGAGTGGACAGGAGAAATGTTTTCATTTCAAAGTGTATTTTGGAACTGTTCAAATACTGGTGGCCTTTGAAGTAATTATCTCCTTTTTAATATGAAGAATTTACATTTTCCAACTTTGACATGGATTATGTATATTAAGCATTACAGTGCCCATGATGATCCAGTGAGGACACTACTGGTAACTAGGAAAATGAAATGGGAATTGTGCTCAATAGATTTTCTGTAAAAGATAGGGTTGATCTGACTGCTTCTGTCATTCTTCTGCTGTAACACTGAGGTTGTAAGAGTATGCAGTGTCCCCACATGGAATGAGTGTGGGAAAAATATTCATAGAAATATGCAGATTTCTGTGTCCACACATTCATTCTAATCTAATTGGTTTGTTTGTATGTTTTGGCTATTTCTTCATTTCTGAAATTTGTAAGACGTTCTCCATGCCCTAAAAGGTATTTCTTACTGCTAGTTCTATTTGCAATAATTATACTGACATGTGTTATCTAAAGGGCATCAATGTTCAATATTTGAACTAGCTCAGTATTTAAGCTACAACTCTGTTTAATGTTCTTGATCAAGTACATGAGTATTTCATACCCCATTGGAATTGCCTATGAAATTCTGCTAGCTCTAACATTTCAGCTAGGAGTTGGGGAGCACTACATACTCTGATTCAGAATGTAGTTCACATTTTTAAAAAGGGAATGTCATCTGCTTCTGGTGAAACAACTGAAAGCCCATTCTGGAAGAGAATCTGGAGATGAGAAAAAACATTTGTGTGGTCAGACTCTGGTATTTGCTGAGAAGTTGTGCCATAGGTGGTGATTTCTCAGCTGAGAGTAGCATCTATCTGCACAAGCCTTCCTGGGAATCAGAAGTAAGAGCCACACCTTGGAAGTTAGGTGGCTGGAGCTGCCTTCTGGGGGCAATAGTAATACTGAAAGGCTCCAGGTTTGCCCAGAAGTTATAATCTACAGCTGAGTGCAGCTTCCTGTCATGCAGTCCTCTGATTACATAACTTAGCAAAAGGGTATTGACTCTGGGGCAGAGAGACCTGGAGGGTACAAAATGAGAGTATACAGCTGAAACAAAGATGAGACCTGATGTAAGCCCGAAGCAAGCTCTGACCTGGAGGTTACATACAATGCAAGGATTTCAAATTGCTTCATCTGCAGCCCATGGCAATGTCCCAAACAGCTCAAATGGAAAGAGAACTAAACCTTTCCTACAAGCAGCCTGTAATGGCTGTGAGAAAAACTAAGAATGCTTACATGGAGGCAGACAGGGGTTGCATTGCCTCTGCTTCTGCATGAGATTTCTTTCAGTAAAATGTAAGCCCAATCCTACAAACACCAACCACCACAAAGAACTATGTGGATTTCAATCTGTGGACTGAAATGGTACCTGTTTGTTTCTGTGTATTATTAAAGCCACAATACAAACTATAATTAAACCCAACTAAAAAGACTATCTGTGATGAGTGTTGCTGCAGCTGTACAAGCTGCACATCCACACTGCAGAGGTAAGGTGTCACATCTCCCCAGTGTACTCTGAAGGGTTTGTGGTGGGGTCTTCTCTCTGTACAGCCCAGTGTCTACAAGAAGCACACTGTCTGCTCCTGTTCACATATCAGCTTACTTTGCAGGGTTAGGAGGCAAAATATAAAGCTGAAAACTCAATTATATTTTTAACCAATTTTATTTGCTTTGCATCTTTTTAGCAAATTTCTACTTATTATCAGCTTTCTTTGTTGCTGAATGCTAAGGACAATATTCTTCAAAATGCTGGTATGATAGTGCCCCTCCATTTTATTTACTATTAATGAAGCATTTATCTCCCTAGGTTGTGAGTCTTATGCTAGGATGCACAACGTTGTAGAAAATGACTGACTTTTGGCGCGGCCTACTGCCATTCTACACACATGGGTTATCAGGCCAAGTGGGAAGGAGAAGAAAAAATATAGATATCTGACAACTGCTGGAAATCAGCGCAGCTGCCCGGGTTGCAGCAGTGTAGGGCCCAGAGCATTCCACCTTCTGGAACGCCGTTGCTCCGTCCGGCTCGCTGCCCGGGCAGAGCGCGGGCCGCTCCCAATGCGAGCGGCAGGGGGGTGGGCTGGGGGGCGGCGCTCTGCGGGCTGATCCGGCCCTGCGCCGCCCCGCTGCAGGCACCTCGCCGCGCCTCGGCGTCCATCCCGCACGTACCTGCGTGCGGAGGGCAGCTCCTCCTCGCCCCGCCCGGCCGCTCTAGGCGCTGCCCCCTCGCGGGGAATGGTTTCTCCCGGCCGTACCCTGCCGCTCCTCCTCCTGCTAGTGCCCAGCTCTCCGGGTGCCGGGGTGGATGCTGTGTCCCGGGAGGGCTCCGCTGCAAGGCTAGTGAGGCGCCGCTAGCTCCGCACCGCATCCGCGGGGACCGCCGGGCTCCGTTCTCCTGCCCGACAGGTAATGGTGGGGCAGCTTGGGACGGTCGCTCGCGTCTCCTCCCGGCAGCGGCGGCCGTTGAACCCCCGCCCCCCTCCTGCTCTCGCCCCCCCCCCCAACTCGCGGTCCGCGCCGCCGTCCCCGGGGGAAGGCAGCGGAGCGGCTGCCTGTCGTGATTCAGCACCGCCGCCTGCGAGGGAGGAGGAGGAGGAGGAGGAGGAGTTGAAGGAGGGGGGTAGTGGGGAAGGGCGGCCCGGGGGTCTGCTGGGCAGGAAGGGGAGCGCTGGCTCCTCGGTGCGCGGCCGCAGGGAGCCCCGGATTGGGCTGGCCCGGCCGTACTGCCCGGCATCCCCGTGTCCCGGCGGAGCACCCGGAGCGTAGGGAGCGAGCAGGCGCTTCCCACTTACAGGCGTTCGGTTTTCTCGCTCGGAGTTCGCGTGCAGCGTCATTTATCTCGGGTGTGTGGCTGGGCCGCTTTGGAGCCAGAGGAGGTCAAAACGGTGCCAAAATCTGCTGACAGTGGTACCCGGCAAAGCCTAAAATGTAGACCGTGTTAAATCTCGGGAGATGAACTTCAAACGTCCTCCCGTGCTTTTGCTTTTAGCCGAAAGCCATTGTCTGTCGGATTTATGTCAGTTTCTGCTGTTGAAATGAGGTATAAATGCACGCACAGAGGAGCGTGCTTGATGATTGCTCTGCAAAGGGATGGGGGTGTGTTGCTGGACTATGTGAAACCATTAAGAGGCCTCTGCTCTGACCGCAGTTGTGGCTTATGGTGTTTTGCAGCTTGAGTACTCAAAGTAGAACATATTGCTTCATTATTACTTAAAAACCCAAACCAGCCGAGCAAGAAAACCCTGATACGGTATTCTTTTCTGCTTTAAAACCTTAGCTGATTTACGTACCTGGATGTTGTTACTCTTCTTAATAGTACTGAGAGAAATAAAATTTTCTTTTTTACAGCTGGAATATGAACAGCGCTGTTCTGTGTGAGCATTGGTTGTGCCCTGCATTCTGTGAAGTTATGTCTGAGTCCCTTGGCTTCAGTAGAAAGCTTTGCCATTGGTTGAAGTACTGAGGTGTCTTTTTTCATAGAAATAGGAGATCATAGAACTGGATATATCAATGGTTTCTTAAACAAAAGTTAGGTAGAAACTGTAAGAGTGCGAGGGGGCTTTTCCTAGAGGGCGAATAAACTCACTATGACAGCATAGGGAACTGCATTTGAAGCCAGATTCTCTGAAGGCAACTGTTACAATATTTCAGAAAATTACATCATGTGGGAGATGGGAATTCTTTTTTAGAAAAACACCCCCATTTAATAATTCTGATAGTTGGGATACATGCTTCCATAGAGATTTGCCCATCACTTTGGGAATGCTAAGGAGGCTGGGAGATGGGGCTGTCAGCACTTACGTGGCCATCATTCCAGTGAGCCCAGAAGCATCTCCGTCATCTGAGGCTCAGGTTTGTGACCAAGTGATGATTTGTTCTCACTCTTTCAAAGTGAATGGTGTCACACTGGCAGCATAGATCAAGCCTGAAGAACTGGGAAACAGAGTGGTCGATGAGCAGTGAGGTGCTAAACCATCCTGCAGTCTTTTGTATAACCAGGATTTTTTCCTAAGATCTTTGTAATACTCTGTGTTTACCATGAAAGCCATAAATATCTTTATGAAGATGAAACATGGCAGACTAATGTGTCTGTGGAAGGACCCTGCTTTGAACTGTCAGCATCAAAATACTGAAATCTCCATTATCTTGATTTAAATCTCCATCTGTGGATATTTATTATCTGTTTAGAAATGTCTATAGGATACATATGGCAAATGAGTAATTTCTTGTATTTCCATATTTTCTAATGTTCAATGTTTTTCTTTTTTTCCCCATGTAATAATTTGTATTAGTAGACACTTTCAGGTGTATGTATTAATATAAATTAAGAACACATTATTAATTAAAAAAATTTAAATCTATAAAGACACTGAATTATATTGATAGGTTTTGTATCAGTCCCTGAAGAAAAATGCAGCTGGTGGCAGTTCCTTGTGTTTGGAAAGATGCAATGGATTTTCTGAACTTTGACTGTTTATAGGTAGGTACCACATTGTATCTTCAGAGGATATTAGGTCTTCTTTTTCAATTATTTTCCCGTGAGCTTCAATATATCTAGCTTGATCTTCCCTTTTATTTTCTACATACCAAGGAAGTCAATTGGGACTGTTTGACTTCCAGCAGCATAATTTAAACTGCACCTTATTTAGCAGGAAGAAGCTCTTTACAGCTCCATTAATGCTCACTTAAAGCCCTGCCAGAGTGGGGAATTTTGCAACTATTCCTTTTGCAGGCTTTCCTTTAAAGATTATTTGAACCTTTTTAGCATTAATATTTAAAATATTAATGTATTTGAAAATTGGAACTGAATCTTTGATCTTGACTACAGTGGTGGATAAGAGAAATCTGTAACTGAGAGTGGATGTGGGACAAAAACACAGACATGCCGAAGTGGTCAACCTCTGTATTGGTTGGATATTTGAGTAAATTTTCCTGTTTCACAGTAGTTACCCTTCTTA